GCAAGAAGAAAGCCCCCTCAAAGGTTTCTTTACCCGTGAATGGCTTTCTGAGGAAGAGCCTGTTACTCCTTCTCACACCACGGTGTGTACACCTCCATCAAGGATGACAAGGGACTTTGCTGCTTTTATAAACTTCTTGGAAGGCTTCCCTGGGCTCTCCGGTACCATCACACCACCAGTGATTGCCAAGAAGCAATACCCAAAACTCAGCTAAGGGGATGCAAGGGGAGGATGTGAATTCAGGCAAGGCTGCTCAGAGCTAATAGCCTGGAGTGGTGAGGACACAGCTACAGTCAGGAGAGCCTCAGAGGAAAGCTCTCCTGGTGCCTGTGCATCCCACATCCATGGACAAGTTTGACAGCGTATTAAATACACCTTCAAAATCCCAACTTACTAGCAAGTAGAAAATATACTGCTTAAGCTGTAATCACTGGTGTGATGTGGATGCAGATGGAGCATGGATCAAGACACAACCCTTGTGGTGGACAGGCAAGTATAGGTGTGGGTCTGGCAGCAGCCAGCACTGCCGGGGCAGCCCTCCTGCAAGCACATGGCCAGGCAGCCTGGGGAAGCTGGTGTAGCAATACTGTTTTTTGTGGCTTTTCTATTTTTTTTAACTGTTTTTAAAAGACAAAGAGGGAATAAAGCCCCATGAGAATCTTTTTTGCACAGCTACTAATTGCCTTGCTGCAGCAGTTCGGAGGCATTAATACTCATGCAGCGCTCCCCAGCTATAAGACAATGTAAAAAGATTAATCCTAGCAACAGCCTGGTGGGGCAAATCCAGGTAATCTCCATTTTGCAGACTGAAGGAGAGGTTAAAAGGAAACCATCAATTTAAAAAATGCCTCCTTGGTCTGGAAAATATGGCGTTATTATTGTTATATTTAATGCCCTGCAATTACTATGCATCGAAGAGATTAAGGGGAAGAACATAGGGGTTTTCAAGAGTTCAGGCTTTGTTTAATGATTTGTGTCTGTCAAAAAATATGCATTATCAAATATGAATGTAATGTGCATATTTTATGTAAATAACACACAATAATATGCGTATGCTAAATGGTATGATTTCTGACTTCTATGGCTGGTGCAGGTGACCTCCATGCTGCTCTAAGGAGCAAAGACCCTGCTTCCACTAGCTCTGTGTGCCCTCGTTTCTGTCTGCAGGATGCTTGCAGCTTGGCAGAGTGCATCGCAGTGCTCGGAGGCACCCCATGAGCTTGGACCACCTTCAGATCCATCTGTCCTCGCCGTAGGAGACCCTGGAGCTGCAGCCCAGCTGGATGTACGCGGGGGCTGCCAGCGGGGATAAGGTCAGGGTCAGGTTCTCTCTCCCAGTATGTCCAAGGCTGGTCTAAATGTCATGCTTGCACCCAAGCAGTACGACACCAGCTGGGACTGGGCACGTAGCAGGCACTGGGACTAAAGCCTGGGGCCTGGGCTGGATTTGGTATCACCTTCTGCTGTGAACACACTACCTTCAGAGTGCTGAGCCCTTTGTATTGCTTTCAAAGTATCACAGACAGTGTCCCAGTTTTAAAGAAGACTTCTGGTGATCAAAGTATTTGGGCAAATTTTCTACAAAAGAGCATTCAAAATGCATGACTCAGGTGCCAAGTAGCTCTGCTGCTGTCTTAAAAATAAGTGCAGCTTCCACAACTTCCCCAGCGCATGTGTTGGGGATGCCCTTTTGTTCGCCGTCTGGTTCACAAATCTTTAAGCCATATATTACATTTATTCCTACAAACATAAGGACTAAAAGCTAACATTTTCTTCTAGATACGCTAATCACGTGGCCCCGAGAGCTGAGCTTTCATCCAAAAAAAAAAAGCAAAACCCTCAAATATCATAAGACTCGAGATAAAAATTATTATAACGTGGTAGTTTATGAACAATGTGCTACAGATAAGATTGCCAGGGAACTCTGAGCCTGATTTTACTTATCACAGCTTTAAACCATCAATCTCAACAGGGTTATTTTGGATTTGGAACAGCAGGTTCTGATCTCATATTTTTTATACTTTCTGACCACCAAAAACAATGCCAAAAAACCTGAGAATAAAACAAGAAAACTATAAATAAATGCTATGCTGTGTTATAGCATATAATTCTTGCCCTGTTTCCTTATAAACAGGTTACTAAATTTAGTGGAAATATCCACAGCATTTGTGTCATGGAAAAACATGAAAAACTTGCAGGTGAACCAGCTCGGGGAGGTGGGAAAGAAAATACAAACAGAAAGAAATGCATCACGTAACATAAAGTGACAGCTTCCAAAACACTGAGACTCTCACAGTCCCCGAGTGTAAGATGAGGGAAGGCAGAAGGACAGACAGACAGAGACACACAAGGAAGGAAGGAAGGAAGGAAGGAAGGAAGAACTAACAAGCTGGTTACAGTCCGGGGTATTATTAATGCCAGATCATCTCCGAGAGGAGGACCCCAATTCAAATTTAAGTCACAAAAAGCACAGAGCAGCCACAGGAGTGTACCCAGGAGGAGAATGTGGGCCATTATTTGTTACCCAACTAAAGTAATCATGGGAGAGTTTATCAGCTGGGTAGATTTTAGCAAATGAAAAGCAAGTAACAGCCCTGACAACAGCCCCCTTGTTTCTGTGAACGCAAAATGTACCTGTTTCTACAGCCAGGTACCTTTTCAGGTGTCTTCTCCAGAAGCAGCCCTGCCCCGTACAGCAGGACAAGCCGCTCCAGGGACAGTGGCACTGCCCTTCTCTTCCCTGCTCCTTCCCACCCGCACAGGCGGTACCGCTAACTCCAGTATGGACAACGCAATTTTGTTCACAGCAGCCGGGAATATTTCCTTCCAAAAGGCCACATCCTACCACGCTGGAAGAGCTTAAACAATATATTCTCCAAATAAACCATGAAGCAGCCTGGCAGCCATGTGAAGAGCTGTAAGCAAGTGAAACCACCTCATCCTTTGGCCCCAATCTCAAATACTGGTCATTAGGCTCTAAAATCAGTCCTCGCTTTCCTAGAAGTGGAGGGATACTAATGCTACAGGGCTATTTAGATGAATAATCTTTATTCACATATACAGCAACAGGGTTAATGGGAAGGGAGGGCAGACTGAGCTTGGTAGACAGACAGCTTTCCGGCAAGGGCTTTGCCTGTGTTTAGTCTGAACACATCACATGGGTCTCCCCGTGACAGGAAAGTCACAGCCTTAGAATAAATCGCTTCAGTGCAGTCATCGTTGTCTCAGTTGCACATAATGAAACCACCACACTGTCTGAAGTCAGTTCCTGAGAGTGAATGCACACTCATTTTTCCCCTGAAATGAAGTTTAAGCAATCTCAGGTCTCCTCATGCCCCATCTTTTAAGTGCATATATAGTAAAAAGTTACAAATTATTGAGTTGGCAAAGTAAGCGACAGTGAAACATGGCTATGAGCAATGTTTTCTTTAAGGCTGGCAGAAATCTCAGAAGCACTTTGAAGACGAGCCTAAAAATGAACAGCAAAAAGGGAGTGCAGTCAGGATGCACCTGGGAATTACTTACTGTAGAAATGACACTGCCTGTCTCGAAAAGGCTTAACCAAAGAAACGTGTATATAGGAAATAGGTTGCAATGAGGACTTGAGGCCCCATCATGCTTGGGTTTACCCAGAAGCATCTTTCAGAGGAGTCAGGGCACCTTCTCCATCTGCTATAGATTAGCGTAAGTATTTTCAGTAAGCAACTGTTTTCCAATAAACAATGCAGTTTTGGAGGACACCAAAATATTTCACATGTTCTAGTTGAAGATAAGTTCTTGCTGAAAAAAAAATATGGTGGAAAATTGTAGAGATCTTAGAAGATTTATTTTTACCATCTAAGAAAAAACTGCTTTGATTTTGTGTTCTAAAGTGGTGTATTCCTTTTGAACTTGACCTGAATTCAAAAAATGAATGAAAACACTAAAAATAGGGTTAGACAGCCCTGAAAATTAATGGACAGCTTTTATTTGGGCTGGGGGGGCGGACAGAAAATAAAGACTTTTGGCTGTTCTGAAAGTCACTATTTTTTAATTTAGCTGAAAAAGAAACAACCCTCCCCCAAAAAAATCTGTTTGAGGTTGAGCTAAAGTGAGATATTTGTGCCTTTTTTTTTTTTTCTTCAGTTTCACTACAAGAAGGAAAATCAGAAATTCAGGCTTCTGTACTGAAAGTCCCAAGCTTTTTCTTCCTTTTTAATTTTTTTTTTCCAGAGAATGCATTGAAACCTCATGTTTAAATCAGAGTGGGGTTTGAGTGCAGAATGCAGTGCGACTTTGCTCGGGGGCGATGCACAAGCCCTTGGGGGCAGAGCCCCCTTAGCAGAGGCACCCTGCCCACCCAGCCGTGTCTCACAGGACTCCTCCTCAGCCTGGGTGCTGCAGGAGTGCAGCCCCCACACCGATGCCAGGATTTAGGATTGATCATCCCACCCTCTCCTCGGCACCTCCTCGAGGTGCTGAGTGCTCCCAGTTTCTGTGTTCAAAGGCAATCGGGAGGCACTTCACAAGCAGCCTCAAAACTCATGGTGTCCATGAACAACCTCATCCTCTCATCTACTGAGCTCGATTTGGGCTATCCCTCCTCTTCTGAAAACCGCCAGTTGTTAGATCAGCTCAGCTCCCTCCCTCACCCCAGGCCAAGGGGAACTAGGACCTGAACTTGCCATCTTCCTTTCTCATGTCTCTAGCAAAGCGCAGCTTGGAAATGCGGGCACCAGAAGGAAAAGTGTCTGGGGGCTGCAAGAAAAAACGTAAGCAACGGGAAATCTGAGTCATGGCCAAGGGGCAGGTGAAAGGATGCAACGCCTGGAATATGTGAGACTCATAGAAAAAAGGAAGTTTTCATCATAAAACGAGGATATCATTTATGCAACAGTTAAAGACATCGGAGTTCAGTGGCATCTCTTTTTCACCAGTAAATGCAACAGCCAGCAGAGCGAGAAGTGATAAATCAGCCTCATTCCCACAGCACTTGACACCGCCTCTGAAACCTGCATGCCCCCACTGCAAAAGTGGGCGCCTGCTGGAGGGGTCTCCCCAGGGCACCAGGGAAGGGCTGAAAGCCCCAAATTTAACATCAAGGGTTGTGTTCACCACAGGACACCAAGATGCAGGCAGTCGTGTGTTCAAAAAGGCACGGGGAGACTATTCTTTCTGAAGAGGGGGAAAGCAACTCATAATGAAACTGCAATTTGACTGGGGCGCTGCAGCCAGAACCTGCGCTTTGGCAGCTCAGCCATGCAGGCCATGAGCAATTCATTTAATCAATGTCTTGTTTCAAAAGAACATAAAAGGGGCTTTAATTAGCCAAAACATCAGGATACACCTTCTTCCTTTCTGTGCTTTTCGAACAAGGTATCGCTAGCTTTCGTGATGCTTGGATCGGGCTCTTTGGACTACCCTACTCAGAGGATATGCAGAGGCTGCTCCTTCCCAGTGACCCGCAGCTGCCCATGCACTTTACAGACCCGTTTTACATCACCGGCCACAACAAGAAACTGTTCTCATACACGTGGATTTAGTAATTTTCTGTTTAACCCTGCTAATTATTTACATGCCTTACAGTAGGGAGAGCCCCAGGGGAATTATATACTTCACGATGAGTTTTCATTGCTACCTTGATGGATGGCAAAAGCCCTTTTTACCATCTGAAGCAAAACAAGCCAGCTTACAAAGTCTAGTCTTTCAAAGAGTAGGGAGAAAAAAGGCAATATTGACATTTGCAAATTCTGGATTTGCCACCTAACTCTGCCAGGGACTTTTCTAGCTTGGAGCAAGTGAATGTGTGCTCCGAGTGCCTGTGAGCTAAACAGCAGCACAAACGCCCACTTTCTTCCACCTCTGCCTGCCTTGTCAGCTGAGACGGCAAATGCTTTTGGCAGGAACCATCTCTCGCTATCTGCTCGGCGTCGCTCGAATCCTGACACCACAACCATCACACGAATGCCGCACTGTATCCACACCTCCCACTTACCAGCCACCACCTGTAGCTGTCTTCTGGGATCAAGGCATTTTTTGAGGTCAGGAAAGGTTGCATAGTTGAATTAAATCTCTGATCAAACCAGAGGGAATGTCCCAGCTCAGAAATGCATGTGTGACAGCTGCACGGTCTCCTGGGGTACTTGAAGAGTTTTTGGACTTGCTCTGAAAACTGCATGATGAGATGTCTCAGATCCCAGGTGGTCATGGTCACCTGGTGCGTGTAGTTCAGCAGAAATGACGTTACTGTGATGAGCAAAAAGGCGAAGGTAAACACTTTCACGTTCCTCCTCCTTACGACGACCATCTTTCACGCTCGGGTTCTGCCGTCACCGCTGATGAAGTAGGATGTAGGGTCCAATGTAAGGCAGAAATGAAAGGGCGCTGCAGGAGGCGCCTGCCAGTTACCACCCCGGGCTTAGGCTGAACATATCACCTCCACTACCTCCATCCATAAGGGAAGAAGCTTCGTTTCCCTCAAATGGGCTTAAAAAAGGCAAAGCTGGGTATTTCCTTTCACCTTCTCACAGTGCTTCCAAGTCTCTTCCACCTCCCCGTGACCTGCTTGTAACCTCTCCCAGCAAGGATTCAATGAAGACAGACTTTTGCCCTTCCACGTACCAGAAGATTTAGAAAGGAGCAATATCAGCATTAAAATTTAGGTTTTCTGTGTGGGAGCAAGCCATCAATTAAAGCAAGCAAACTGTAGAAAGAAGAAGGTGGTTATTTTTTTTTCTTGGAAGTTAGTTCACAAAGGATCAGATCATCTGGGGATGTACATTCCAGCAGTGAGACATGCTTTGATGTCCATTTAAGCCATGGAGAGCAGTTTGCAGCCTAGAGACATACACACACAAAAAAAAGAAAGAAAAATTATTGTCAAAAAGTTTTTTGCGTTCCTCCCAACCTAATTTCTCTGCTTTTCTCTGCCCATCCCAGAACTTCTGATCAGCTCAGAGCCCTCGATACAGCAGCACCGGCTGCAATTTCTGCTGCAGTATTTGCATACTGAGAAGTTTCAGGGTGAAATTTCTGAAAGGACACAGCACTGACCTGTGGACATTGAGTCCCTTTGCATTACAGCCCCTGCACTCTGGCCTTATTTGAATAATTACAGTCTGTAGCCATGTGAATGGCAATGACTCACCTCCTTCCCGTAGGCTGACCTTGATAGCCACAAGGTACGCAGCAAAGTATTCATAACTCAAAGCAGCTGAACAAAAAGCACTCAGCAAAAGGAGGAGCAGGGCAGGGGGGGAACAGAAATCAGTTCCTTCTTCTTCTTCCCCACCCCCAAGCAGCTTAATTTCTTGAGGATTGGGACTGGACTCGTGATTCCAAGAAAGCCAGGCAAGAACAGCTCATACGTCCTGGGATAGACGGGGGAAATCAAAGTATAAATGGCCTTTGTTTCACATGAATTATTGCTATTTTTCTTACCAAGGAAGGGTAGGTGAGGGCAGCCTGTCATGTCAGAGAGTTCCTATGAGATCCCGAGCTAGGCAGAGAGGCAGGGAGCTGCTTCACCCCAGCGAGTTGGGGGATACAGAGGGACCCAGAGCTGCTCTCCGCTCCCCTCCTGGTGTCCCCTGCCTGGCAGCAGTGTTTTAAATGAGTTTTTAAAAGCCAAAAAATGGATCCCTTCCTCCCACGATGCCATTGTTTTGTGGGAAGAAAAAGTGTTGTGGTTTTTAAAACTTCGGATGTTTGCAAAAAACCCCAAAAGTGCCATTGCTTAAATAACACTCTTTTGATTTAGAAAAAAAAAAAAGAAGGCAAAATCAGAGAAGCATCTGTGTCAGAATACGTGCAATTTATGAACAAGCAAAAACCCAGCAAGAGAAGTCTCATTCGCTACTCAGCTGCAGGCTTCAGGCCAGCAAGCAAAAAGCAAAACTGCAACTGTTACCTGTCAAACCCCCTCATTTTAACCCATTTTGTGCACCACATTGATGCAGGATCCCCCCATTTCATCCCCCAAAGCCAAGGTGAACACAGGGGAAGTGCATCTGGTGACCACAGGTCTGGGCAGGGCGCAGCATTCCCAGCTTTGCTGCTGGCTTTTCTCCTGGGGATCCATGAGGAGCTGCCCAAGGCCAAACCGCTTTTCCAAGCGGTATGACATGGTGTCTTGGAGACAGCACAGGCCTGGTTTTCAGAGGCGACATGTAAATATTTACCAAGTCCCGTAAAGCCAAATCCAAAGGCAGGAGCCTCAGACCATGGTCTTAAGCCTTTGCTCTGCTTCAGGTTTCTCATCTGCAGCACGTGATGGGTAGCGTGTGCCATTCAGTTAGCTGCTGTTTGCCAAATGCCTCGAGATTTATTTTAAGTCTGGCCCCTACAAATGCATTTACAGGAGCTCAAGGGCTGACAAGTGGGTCAGGCTGGATAACAAAAGGCTTTATTAACCCTGGCTGCTCGGGCTCCCCTGTACCAGTAAATTAAACAGCACCAGGGAACAATCCTGTGCTCCCTTTAACTTCTTAGAGGAAAGTTTTAGGGCTAACCAGAAATCTTCCAAACTATTCCTGGGTACAATTTGGGAATCACAGCCCAACCGGCAGCGGAGATGCTGCCGCTGTGCCTTGGAGAGTTAGAAAGGGAGCTTAAGAGCACAGCCCCCGTGCACAGTCCCATCCATGCCAGCTGGCCTCTGGGCCGGAGAGTGGCCCCAAACACATTTGCTTTATTAGCCTGGATGTAGTTGTTAGTCTAAACAAAACCACAGCCTATAACCCCCCCCCCAAGTATGCCAGATCGCAGAAGCACATTAATTCTCCATTTATGGACCGGATAATTCAAGCGCTGGCGTGTTGAACCCCTACTGCTGTTAACACTTGGCCAGTTCAGTATTTGTAAACACAGTTTCTGCTCTTCTATTATTTTTTTAAGTTGAGGAGGGAGGGGGATTATTGAGTCTTTCTTGGAAAAGCCTATAAAATGGAGTATTGTTCATAAAAGAAACAGTTCTGGCCTCCAAAACAAACACCCATTTCACCAGATTTTTTTTTTTTTTGTAACTGAGCTAAGGTTAAACTTATATTTAGAATTTGAAAAAAAAACCAAACCAGTGTTTATGCAGTGGACTGCAGTGTCTCCAAAATGCTAATCATCCTGTCTTTTACAGCACGTGAGGGGAAGATGAGAAACTAGAACTCCCATGGCCCTTCTCCAGTGTGGAAATACACACCGGCTACTCTATTTTAATTCTCACTATTTACAATTTCCTATGAATGCTCATGTTTCCTACGGATACTCATGATAGGAAAATATATATATATATAACCTGACAGAAAGGCTCTGGGGATAATAAATGTGATATAGGAAGAATGAAGAAAAGGAAGGCTGAAATGAATGGAAAATGCTTTCATCGAGTTCACTGTGACTTGGACCTGGTTCATTTTTTTCCTTTCTTAAAACACAAGTTAGATCCAACCCAGACATCAGTACT